TTCATGCAACTTCAAATAATGCTTTGGGAATGGAAATGTAAAAGTAATAAAGATATCAAATCATATCATATAATATATGAAAATATAGTTTTCAGATTGTATGTTTCTAAACAAATATTGTTTGTGATTTCAACTAATCAGGACAATGAAATATTCTGTCATTTTGTAGAACTACACATCAAATGTAGTGTGTGATCTTTTGTTTTCTAAAATAGCATGGGACTAATCACTGTCAGGTATACTAATATATTGAGTGTATATCTGCAAACTGTCAACATAGAAAACTCAAAGGAATCATGGAAGAGTCTGTCTACCAACATAAATCCCTGGTTCACAAGAGAATATGTTTATAAAGATACTAAGTTATATTTCCCTGTTGGTTTCCAAGGCACTTCTCATGGTATTTGGCATGTTGCTTCTTTACCGCTCGCTTTCTTCTGAAAATAAGTACATTTATTGTATTACTACTCAGTTTATTATAGCTATTCATACTTTTCACAGTAATTCTAGACACCCATAAGTTAAATAAAATTACAACATACAATATTTCTATAAACTTAAGAAATCGCTGTATTTCTCTCTTCTAAGCCAATGTCACTCCTGGTATGGTGCTGTAGAGTCAGCACTGGGCTCTGAAACTGAAGATCAACAGTTGACCCACCAGCTGCTCCTCAGAAACCCTTTACAGTGTTGCTATGAGTTGGAACTGACTCAGCAGCACTTAGCAACAACAACAATATAGTGTAATCTATTTTGTTTTGGACAGTACTGTAGTTCCATAGCTATGTGCCTGATATGTGTACTGGGCCTGGCACATAGATGGTAGTAAAAGAATTCACTGAAGGAATGAAAATCATCATAAATAACAGTGAAGGCATAGTTTTTAGGTTCGATGTTTGTGCTTTAGTTTAAATCTTTAGTAATTCTGTTTGTGGTAAACCTGGAAAAATTGGATTGGTATTATGCCATCACTGTTAGCATAATTGCGATGCTAATTATCCAATAAAGATCAAATGTCAGCTTTTCTAGGATTCAACTTAGACCACAGTCCTGTGCTGATCCTACAGCACCACACCAGGAGCCTCTATCGCTGGTTATCTATAACCGTTTTGAGATATGTTGAGTGTTATATCAGCCTTACTCAAAGTAATGTTAGCCTTACCAAAGAATAAATCTTTCTGACCACTCAGGAATTATTCATGTCCCCAATGGGATTCCAATATTTGGCGTGTATTCCAATGCCATTTTGTGTCAAAGAGCTTACCTTTTCCTTCCTGCACATTGGATTATCAGCCAACCGAAGAAGGAGTCTAGAACATCTTAAATAGACTACGTTGGAAAAAAAACCACAGACTATTGTCAGTTACCTTCATTATAAAATAAAAGGCATTATTCTTCTAATATAAATAAAAGTTATTGTGTTTACAAGTATATCAACTCCTGAATCCATTTATTTTTTTAAATATTCTGAATTCCCTGGAAGCAATATGAAAAGTCATTTGCCATCGAGAACTCTAA